TTAAGGTTGCCAGAATTTTTTTACATGCCAGGAGGACAAATTCTCCACTTTGAAAACACAACAAATTTTTTATATTTATTTTAACACATAAATAAAAAATAAATAAACAATTCAAAGTTTCTATAAACACAAGTCGAACAAGTTAATAGTACACTGCGTTGCATAATTATAAGACCGTTACATTTCGATAATTAATTTTCTATGTGGTCCCATTCTAATTTGATTTGGATCCGATCATTGGATCATGAAAAAATTAACGGTGCTGAGGGTAATTTTTTAGAGAATTTAATGCCCTACAAGAATATGCCTAGAAAAACCTTTATTCCTTTTTTATATCTTTTCTTAACGGTTCAAAAGTTAAAACATTTTTATTGAAAACAATTTTTTTATATGTTATTTATATAGAAAATTTCAAATGCCGACTTTTAAAATTGAAATAAAAATGTTTCCAAATGGGAGAATTTCCTTTTCAGTAAATAGGTCATTTTAGGCCCATAAATTCGACAGGTTGGTTGTTTTAATAATAATAATAATAGATTGGCGCTTACACATATGTTAGTGTTTGGCCGAGCTTCTCCTCCGACTTGTGGCGTGCGCCTTGATGTTGTCACACCTACAGTTTTACGCCGACTCCGAACGTCGATTGTATTTTTATGAGAAGCTGTTTTTCATGGCAGAAAAACACTCGGAGGTTTGCCATTGCCTGCCGAGTGACGACTGCTGTTAAGAAAAAACCTTTTTCTATATTTTTTTTTGCGATGTTGCTTTGACCAGGGCTTGAACCCAGGTGCTGATGAGGGAAAGCGCGCACTGCTTACCACTACACCTCAGCGGCCAAAATAACAGCGGTTAGTTATTTTGGATCACCTTAATATATATATACAAGAATTACTCCTTTACAGTGATAAGAATAAGTGGCAAATTTCCCGGAAAAAACCCCCGAAAAAAGTCTGGATCCGCCGCTGGGCCTGTGGTATTTTTGATTATGTACTTGGATGTAAAATAACACATTTTCTTAAAAATTTTAAGCTTATTTGCGCTCCAACGTAACGAACGTACTTGTTTAAGCCATCTTACAAATGCTTTATCAAGATAAAAAATTCCCACGCAAAAATATTGCCACTGATAATACTTACACATATCTGGCAAATACAATGACATGTGGTAGGCAATAATTTTCCCTGTGAAGAGGCGTCGTTAGCTAGTTTTCAGTGTTGTAAAAGGCCGTTCGCACCAGGCGATTTCGCGTTCAACTCACACACGGTTACACGAAAATCAAATTGAATGGCTAAAAATAACAAAATATGCAAAAATTCACCATAAAAGGCGTTTGCATTGTTCAACTTTGCATTCTACTTTTGGTTGAACGGCCTTTCAACTAATCGCTTTCAACAAAGTTGGTCGCCAGCCAAAATTTAGCCATTCTACTTTTTTTTCGTGCAACCCTGCGAGAGTTGAACGCAAAATCGCCTCGTGCGAACGCCTTTTGAAGGGTAATACGGCTTACCCTACAACAAAGGGAATAACTTTGTTCGATCCTCCAATTACTCACCCCTTTCCCACGCGCACATTCTTAATTCAATTTGACAGTTCTCTATCTCTGTTTTGTTTATTTTGCTTCGCTAAAAAATTTGTGCAAAATTTAAGTAATTGCTTTGCGTACTTTTAAAAAGTGCCAGTTTTCATTTGTGAACTGGTTTCGATAAATGTCCGATAAAAATTAGAGACGGCAGCGATTTGTTCGTAATTCGCATGGTAATTGGATCTGAATTACCAACAAAATTTAGTATGGCGGATTACGTAATTCCAAGGGTAATTGGAGTGCGAATTACGAATGACAGAGCAAACTACGTAATTCGCGTGCAGTGGGAAAGCCGTATTAGATATTATTTTTTAAGGCTAAAAGGCGTTCAACTTTCAAAGGCGGTTAGTTGAATCAAAAGCTTACATCATTTAACTGAATGTTGAACAATGTAAACTCCTTTTAAATACAATGATTATGTACGATTATGAAATAATAATATTCTGAACGAAATTTTTGGCAAATTTCATCACTGCTATAAAACTTGAGACGGAGGACAAGGAGGACATTTTTGCTCAAAAGAAGGACAATATTTTTGAGGAGGACAACTCACGTTTGAGGATGACAATCCTCCTCAAAGGAGGACGGTTGGTCAGCTTAATATGTCTATTTATTTCTTACAGCGAAATCGATAAAACGTATGCGAAAATAACTCAACAAGAAAGTAAAATATTTTTTCTTCTCATCTGAGCAATTTTATTTTCTGGATTTTTAACATATCTTTTTCGACTACAGATATTCATCCGGAAAAAAATAAAAAAAAAATCAATTTGAAACTCAATTGGCTTAAAATAACATATTAATTGCGCAAATTTTCCCAATGAAAAATAGAAAATTCCGGACGAATAATTAATCAATAATAATCCGGATATTCCGGTACAATAAGAAATAAGTATTCGTCCGGAAGTTCCGGATGATTAGGGACAGCCTTTTCGAAAACGGTCAACTCCATTTTTTCCAGAAAAACGAAAGCTAAAATTTTTTTCTTCCACAACAAGAAAGCTACAATTAAGGGCATAGTAAAATAGTGCATATCTCAATTCTATCGACCAGGTGTATGCTATCAAGTTAGCACTACTTACCATTTTTTCTTAAAAAAACGAAAACTTCAAAATTTACAACAAAAAAGCTACAATTAATGCCGTTGCAACATTTTCAATATCTCCATTCTATAGAGTAGGTGTATGGTGTCAAGTTAGCACTACATACCATATTTAAAAAAAATTAGAGCTACACATTTTTTTTCACAACAAAAAAGCTACAGTTAATGTGAAGTGGTAATGGGGCGGTTAAACGTGGCAACACAAGCACTTTTTCTACGCATTTTGCTGTCAGTATGCCAAAGAGGAAGCCCACTGCAACTGAAATTACGCAAATCGCTTTCGAGGAATTATTTACTCTTGCTCGCGCTGCACGAGCAATTTTCATTTTTGCAGCAAGTATTGTCGAACCGATCGAGGGTTGCCGTGCGATTTTTGCCGAATTGGTATAAGATTTTAAAAATATTGCATCACTTTAAAAGCACAAACTGGTAATTAATGTAGTTTTTATAACAAATATTTCAGGTCAGTAATATTCTTATAAGCGTAAAAATGTCTGGTAACACAGGTGAAAGTGGAATTTACCATGATAAAAGCATAGTAAGGTAAAACCGTTCTCTCAATGCGTCGGCCATGATTTTTTTTTTGAAGTTTGCCAACATTTTAAAATCGTATAAAATTGGGAGTAAAAAGAGGAATTGTTCAAAGTTGTTGTTGTTTGAGATTGAAAATAAGAATGTGAGTGTAAAATTTTAAAATTAAATTGCTTGCAAACGTCAAGAATTTGAAAAATTCCCCTCAGCGGTTCTACCTTCCTATTTTGACATATAGTTCGTTCTTTAACAAAACCCGTTCAAATTCATGTTTCCAAATTTGAGCAGTCCACTTGCAAAGGCGCTATGTAAAAAACTTGTATTTATACGAATGTTGGTAAAGAACGAACTATAAAATTCTAACCGAAATTAAATAACAACAAAAATAATATTTTAAAACTTGTCAAAATTTGGTGCGGCTATAACTTTTCGACTACTGTACATAAGTTGGCTATGATTACTCGGCCGTGATATCATAGTAGCACAATGCCACTCATATTTGACTTACAAACAAGCTACGGGCAGAAATTTCAAGATTTCAACCCTGTTTTTATGAAAAATTTTATTTTTATCAGTATTTCTCTTCTGTTGAAATAAAAGTGAAACTAAAAAAAAATTTGCCAGAAGTAGTAAAATGTCACACTAGTCATATATTAAAATTACATTCCTGTCAATGTATGTATTATATCATAAGTATAATTGTGGTTTGTTCATTTTTGCTAACACAATCCAAATTTCGCTCGGAAACTCACGTCAACAGTTACGCTGGCATTTCATCAACCAAGCTGTATACGTTTAAACGCACTATAAGTTTGTCAATCGTCTTAAAAAAGACGTCAACACATGAACAACCTGGTGTCGTAGGGAGTTAGCTGAAAAACTCCCGACCACTTAAGGAGCCATCGCTTCTACAACCCAAAAAAAGAAGCCTCGCGCATACGTGGCCGGCTAGTAATAAATAACTATAAAAACCATAAAAAGAATTGAGACAAGAATGATAGACTGCAATACAGCGAGAGTACCAGTTTGACAGAATAAAAAATAGCCAAAGATCATAGAAAATAAGGATGCTGGCTATGTTTATGGTTCCCTTACATCCTATGTACTGCCATGTTTGTACGAAAATTTGTTTTTGGGCCAGATTACAGGACGACTCTTTTAAATTAATAAAAAAAAACTGAAAATCGGTATTTATAGCCCATTTCTGTATCGGTGTCAAAATATTTTTTACTGGCAAATTTAAACATTTTCATATATATTTCCGTAATAAAAACTGTGACAAGAATTTGTCAGTGATACAGAACAGAGCAGTTAATCGGTACAAATATGAAAAATTGGGACACTTATACGTCCCGACTTTTAAAAAAATATTCAGCGAAACAATTTTCTCAAAATCGGTGCAAACGGTCACCATATTCACACATAATTTTTTTTGTACCATTAACAGATACGTAGAATTTTGAAAAAACGTCAGTCATCTTCGATAGGAGCTCCATTTTGGGAACGTCGGGACGGGAACTTTTAATCGTTTTACACTTACCATATAACATTTGTGGAAAATATTTTTATATGGTTCAAAAAGGTATTGACGATGAATTTGTGTTAATTCAGAGCCTACTATAGTTTTTATGATAAAGAAAGTGTCTCCAAACGTAGCGCAGGGAACACCCATATGAAAACATGTAGTTTTAGTTTCACAAAACACGTGTTTATTTTTTCTTTCTAAGTTTGAACCAATGGTGTTATAATTTCTAACTTCTTCAACGTTTTTTTTTCTTTTTACAGTTTCCAACAAGCCGCCATACGTTATCACCGAATCTGGTTACGCCGGTTTCTTGGTGCCGATAGATATATATTTTCGTAACCGCGATGAGCCAAAGCGTATACAATTTACTTACGATTTAGATTTGCAGCAAACTGGTCCACCACATCATCGGTTCGAGGTGCAAAAGTTTGTTTTCGACCATGTTTCGGAGGATTTTCGACAAAAGCTGCTCAAAGGAGGCGGCATACCAGTGACTGGTGCAGGCGTAGTTGGCGGTGGCGCCGTACCCCCGACCAATACCACGCCGAATGCTGCTATCAGTGATGAAGGTGGTGGTATGATTAGCAAACCAAAACTGAGTAGCGGCGAAGCAGTCGGTGGTAGCGGCGGTAAAAAACACAAAACTCGCGTTGATGATTCCAAGAGTAATTCGTTTGCTAATCTCTTTGGTACACCAATAAAAAGCGGCTCTAGCAAACATTCGCCAGATGCTAAGAATAACAGTTTGAATGTCGGAGGCGGCAAAGGGGTACCTCACGCAAGCAGCGCAAGCGGTGGTGGCGGTGGTGGGGTAACACCTAACTCTGGCAGTAGCAATGCGAACAACGCTAGTGCCAAGGAGAAGTCCATTAAAGAACGTGACAAGATGAGCAGCTCGTCAACGGCTTCCGCCGGTAGTAGCGAGAAGCCACGTGAAAAGTCTGAAAAGAAAGAAAAGCATAAGTCGTCATCTAGCCCACACAAAGAGCCGCGTAGTGAGAGCAAGAAATCATCCGGCGAGAGTAGCAAACATGAAAAGCGCGAAGAATCGAAGTCGAAGAAGGATAAGTCACGAGAAAAAGAACGTGAACGCAGCCGAGAGAAAGCTGGCACCAAACGATCGCTAAGCCCGAAAGCAAGTACGCGTGACGTTAGTGCCCCAAGCCCGAAACGGCCGACTCCACCCCGATCTTCGTCGTCTGCAAGCGGGCGTGTGGAGGACGTAAAGCCAACGAATAGTAGCAACAAAACGGAGGTTAAGGAATCTAAGTCCCGCGAAGATAAATCTAGCTCAAGCGGCAAGAAATCTAAGAAAGAAAAGAAAGACAAGGATAAGGACAAAGAACGCGACAAGGAGCGTCGTGACGAGCACAAAGAAAAGCATCGAAGTGTTGAAGGGAAATCAAAAGATTCAAAGGAAGAACGTCATGGCGTTGCGGCCAACGTTGGCCCTAGTGGAGATGCCAGCAATGTAGCGCCTTCAACGGCATCTAATGGGAACGCTGTAGTAGCGGAAGCTAAAGATCTCAAAGGCAAGCAATCTCCCGCGAATGTGAACGCCAAGAAGGCAGACAAAGATGGCAAAGATAAGGCGGAAGCAGCCAAGTTAAAGAACAATGATAAGACTGTCGATAAAACCGCGCCGATTGTTTCGGCAAACGGTACAAATACTCAGGCAGCTACTGCACCGGCTGGCAGTGGGGATAAGAAACCAACCGGCATTTCAAGCACCCAAGGCAAAAAGGTAGAGAAAGAGAATGACAAAGAAAAAGAAAAGGAAAAGGAGAAAGAAAAAGAAAAGAAGTCGCATAAGCACAAGAAAAAGGACAAGAACAAAGACAAAGATAAAGAACGAGATAAAGAGCGTGACAAAGAGAGACACAAGGAAAAAGACAAAGAAAAAGACAAGGAAAAGGAAAAGGAAAAGGATAAAGAAAAAGAAAAAGAAAAGGAAAAAGAAAAGGAAAAGGAAAAAGATAAAGATAAGGAAAAGGATAAAGATAAGGATAAGGAAAAGGATAAAGATAAGGATAAGGAAAAGGATAAGGATAAGGAAAAAGAGAAAGAGCGTGTGGATGAGAAGATACGCCCGGAAAAGACCCGGGAATCTAATGCGAATGTAAATGTAACGACAACTGCAGTCACCGTAGCTCCCGCTGCTACAGCGATTACAACCGAAACACCAGCACCACTTGAACCGCCCAAGAATGAACCGAGCAATGCAAACCCCGCCCTTAACGCTGCCAGCAGTGTCGCAACCACTAACAGCAGCAGCACTGCAACAGCGGCCGCTGCACCAACAAAGAAGTCACAAAGTAAAGAAAAGAAGTCCAAAGAGAAAGCATCCAAAGAAGAAAAGCGCAATGCAGCCGAGGAAGGCGAAGTGGTGGAGGTCCGAAGAAGCACTAAAAATGCTGCTAAAAGTGCTAACGCCGCCGCATCAGTAACATCATTGGCAAGTACCCCTACTGTCCCATTAATGAACACCAATACCGCTACCAACAACAACACCAATAATGATATGGGCGACGGCGCCAAAGCACATTCGCCAGAGGAAACCCCACTGCCGACGATAACCGCGGAGACAGCTGCAGGAACAGGCGCTTCAAAGACGACCTCTTCTACTGACCCTGTACCCGCCGCTTTGCAATCGGATAGCTCGAATAGCAGTTTTCTGGATATACCACCAAAGCCGGTGGTAACCACAAAGCCGACATCATCGCCCACCACCAAAGCGGAGGTGACACCAGCAGAAAAGCCCGAGAAGTTGGCAGCCGCCAGCATCAAAGAGTACAAGCAGCGTGGCAGCGAACGTAATGCAAAGACGAAAGATGGCGCCGACAAACAAGATAAAAAGATAGAAAAAGGAGAAAAGAAACGTCGACGAAGCTCTGTGGCAGCTGCCACCGTATCAGTAAACACGTTCATAGAACCTCCAATCAAGCAAGCCAAAAAGGAGGCTAACAAAGCGGCACGAGATCAAGCGAAGTCGCCTGCACTGCGACACAGCCGAGCCGCTAGCATAAGCGGCCCACTCCTCGGCATCAATAACAGCAGCAGCAGCGGCATTAACTCGAATAACATCGGCAATGGCAACAACAGCAACAATGCGCCCTCGCAAAACAATAGCAGTTCTGCTTCTACTGAGGCACTCAATAGTGGCGGGGCATTTTTGCCGCCTCCCAATAACACGACTGGCACCAGTGTAACTAGCTCGCCAGCCCCTCCAGCCACCGCTACCACCGCCAATGCCAACGTCAGCAACACCAGCTCAAATGTTGCCGCAACTGCGAGCGTTTCGACAGCTGCTGCAGCAGCGGCAGCGCCGCTGGCACCGCCTCACCCACTGCGACCCGCATCACCGGCTGCGCCTGTCGGTGCGGCGGCCGCAGAGGCTGCAAGCGCCAACAGCGGTGCAACGCCCACGCCTGCATTACCAACTGAATATTTAAGCGAATTGCAGGAACTACATCACAAAATAATGACGCTACAAGATAATGACGAGTTGCAACAGGTGGTCGAGATGATTGCGGCAACCGGCTGTTACGAGATTACGGCCAAAACGTTTGATTTCGATCTATGCAAGCTGGATCGCAGCACTGTGCAGCGACTGCAAGAGTTCTTTGCGACATCTGTGTCGTGACACAAAATACATGCCTAAAATGGAGAAGTGCCTCGCAGCGGTGGCGGCTGGAAACGGAGCCAGAACGGCAGACGTGGCGAAAGGAGTGCCGACAAAGCAGCTCGTCTGTCTGCTATTCAAGCCAACAATTACCAGCTAGCAAAAATTAAGAACAAGAAAGACAAAAAAACAAAAGCCGGAGAGTACAGTGTAGAGCGAATTAGCGGGTGATGTTCAGACGGTGAACTTGAAGATAATATAGTAGTAAATAGTAAGAGGCTTTATTAAAAGCGATTGGAAAATGATTAAATAATTGCTAAGCGATAGTAAAACGCTTACTTTTTTAGCACTAGCTCATATGACACACCTACATGCGCACACACATCACACAAGACACATTTGTAAAGATGCGTTGGATGCAAACGAAAATATTATTCATAAATACTGACCTGATGACTGCGTTTTTTCAATTCTAGGTTGATAACTGATAGTTATCAATGAAATTGACAAAATAATACTGTGAATAACAAGAAGGTCGCTAAATATCAAGAGAAAATTGATAGTTATCAACCTTTTGGTTATTCACATTTTGTCAATTTGATTGGTAGCAATCAACTTTAAACCGAGAAAGGATAATCGCGATAGGGGCCATCGCATTATGAACTCATTTGTACTCAAAATTCTGCAAGAAATACTTATAACACTAGCAAAGAATGAGAAGCTGTTCATATGATAATTGTTAGTAAAGTTATACGAGTTTAATTTTAGTAAAGCAAATGAAGCTTACTTTCAGTAATTAGACTCCTTTATAGTTTAATGAGAAAAATTTATGTTATTCCTTTATTTTAATGTTATGGTCTTTTTCGTTTTTGTTTATACTAACAGTAATACGTTTTTAACATCAAGTATCCAAACTGTTTTCTTTACCTCAAAAAAAATTTAAACTAAAAGATAGGCAAAGTCTATACCCGTTTATATATATTTTTTTTATGGTACATATAGTGAGCTCTAGTAATGAACAATGAATTCCTTCGGCCTAATCGCAAATTTCATATGAACAAATGTTCCTAAAGATTTTAAAGCAAAATAAGTAAAAGCTATTTTTTCCATTTTTTTTTTGTTTTGCCTGTTAAATTATGGGAACGATTTATTTACATAGAATTGGCGATCAGGCTGATTATTTCTCCTTTGACGACGACGATTACACTGCAGAAATAAGCTTTGTCTTCATTACTTGCCGCTGATAGTGCATATATGTACGTGTGTATGTATATGTATACATTTAATAAAACAGATTGCATACTAAACTTTCATTTTGTTCATCACTTGGACATTTGAGAAGACATCTAAGCATTTGAATATCATAAATACTGATCTGATGATCCATAGTACACAGATTCCCAAGTAACTCATCGATTTTTTAGTTTTAATTCATTAAGTTAATTATAGGTTTTAGTTTTCATTACACTAAGAAAACTAATGAAGAACTTAGTAAACATCGCACAAGTGTGTATTAAATATAACACTTCCATATACATATATGCATATATTGCTGTACCTACAAAAAATACTACAGGAATGTTGTATTAGTATGTATGTTGTAGTTTAAGACTAGTTTTAATAAAGTTTTTTTCTCTCTCTAGAATCTAATTCTTATGTTTTTCAATTTGAACTTTAAAAGCACTTTAGAAAATTGCTAAATAGATTTTGTTATGTGAATTGTTTGAAATAATTTAATTGTGAAACTACTATATTCCTTTTCTTTAGTTGAATGTAAACCACATTGTATGAAATATGCTAGATCAGCTAATTTCTGTTTGGAACAATAAAAGAGGTATTTATAATATATAGGAAAAGAAATATATGTCTATGTGACGGGGAATGTTAAAAAGGACACCTACGGGTAGAAAAAATTCTACATATCTTTACTTTTTACCAATTCTTACAGTAAATTTTACGTCCTTTAAATGCAATAAACCACAGCTTTAGTTTTTTCTCACAAATTCAAAGGTGGACGCATTGGAAAAACGTAACTTCAACTTCCTTTTTATCGAAAACTTATCGAACCGAAGGTCCCTTTTAACTTTCTCAGTCACATATGTATTCTAGCACACAGTGTAATACAGCGAACCCGATACCCACGCCATTTTTTTTTTAAGACAACTGATACGAGAAAGTAAATGTTAATATTTTCTTATTAACCCAATCGGCAAAATTAAATTTTTAGGAGCCCTTATTTCCAATCTACTGAAGCGATATGTCCTCCGTGCTAGATTATTTCGTTACCTTAATATAAAAAGGCCCTATATCGCGTTGTCGCTGAAATGCAAAAAAGCCATAACTATCTTAAATTTGTTATTGCATAAAACGATGTGGGGACGTATTATTTGATGAAATGCGTCATATTCAATCAAAAAGTGAATTTTGGATTTTTGTTAGTTACGGTTTTTGTATTTCAGCGTCAATGGGAGATAGGGCCTTTCTATATTAAGGTAACGAAATAATCTAGCACGGAGGACATATTTACTCCTCTTTAGTTTGTATGAAATTGCCAGAGTTTCAAGGCCATCTGGTTCAGCTCCCCTTAAAAGGGGAAAATTTACAAGAAGTAATAATGATACAGTTCAAGTATATCTTTTCACTAGATACGTCTTCTTATTTTTTTCTTTTAATTGAATTCCGTTGCCTTGGAAATACACCTTTTCGTCTGTCGTCGTATTGCAGAGCTGTTCAATGATTTTATATTGCAACTTTCACGTTTTATTGGAAAAGCCCTGTCTTAGAGCGTTTATTTAGAAACGCTCCATATTTTGCCGACTGGGAACTCTTGAGTAACAACATTGTCACACAATTTATGTATACATAAGTAAATCGTCGTTCGGAACAACTTTAAAACTTCTTTGGTATATCTAACAAATATTCTTTATATTTTTACCCCTTAAGTATACGGAGTTAATATAATGTTGTTATTAATATTGCTTTGTTTATTGTATAACAATTCATACGAAATATTTAAAACTGGGCCCTAACAACTAGGTGGATCAGAGTAATATAATAAATAGTAATATACATATTATGTATGTTTAAGTTATCAATACTTTTGTTTAAATTAAATAATTAAGTCACTTTTTTCAACTTTCTTACATTGTTGTTACTTCAAAATAACTATTGCTCAGATATTTGATCCAAAAATGTTCTCTACATCTAAAAAGAGGTTTTTGATTGCATTTCTTAGGATGATGTGGCTAAACTTTACGTAGACTTAAAATTTATTTTTATTAATTTTATTATTTTGGCCCTAAGTTCGTTCATATACATATGTACATATATATGCACTTATGTATGTAAATATGAGCCGTTTATTTTGAAAGTGGCATAAGTCACTTCAAAGCTCTTGCGCTTAAATGACTGGTTATTCTAATCGTTGGTTTGTGTATTTGGAAAATTATAAAATAAATTTCTTCCATATATTCTCCGATTTCACAATCCGCTTTCATCGCAAGGGTTCAAGATACAATCCCTACGGTTCAACAAACCCTAAACGGAATACAGTGTTTATACACAAGGTGGTGGTTTCTTATGAAGATTTCTATTCGCTCGCGGTCCCGCTGCATGAAGCGTTATTGTGTATGCAATACCCCACGGAGCTACAAATATTGTTTTAAGCCTTTCTAATTTTCGTAATTGGCCTCCAGTAAAAAATTCTACTTAACATGTGTATATATGTATGTACCAAATAAGTTTCCCTAGAAAAAGTTTCATTGAAATGCATGTTTTAGATTTGGTAACAAATTTTGCCCACGACCAACGTTGAAAAGTATAACCACAAGTTGTACATTTTAAAAAGAATAAATTCTCATCCGTGGTTGCAGTTTTGGTACCACAACACGTTTCTTGGGAACCAATTTAATGAGTGATAGTTTCTTGGAGGGAATGGCATCCCAGTTGCCTAACTCCATTTCCTCGAGTGTGACACGAAAAGTCCGGACTTTTTGTTTTCTTCTTCAATTTCGTATCGTTTTTATGTATGTACGTTTTCTCAAACTTATTGTGTACGGAGTAGAATTTTTTACATAAAAAGGACTAGATTGTCATTTATTCATATCTGATTCGCTGTATTACACCGTTGTCTAGCATATGTATATGTACATACATACTTATACCCATTAGTGTGGGCCGAAATTCCGCTTTTTTAGAATTTTGATTGAAATTTTGAAATTGAAAATTTTTCTAGGCTTACTTCGATTCTCCTCAAAAAAGGTCCATATACCGAATCATGTACGACGAACACTTTCGAAGATAATTGCAATTTCAGTAAAGAAATTTAATGTATTTACTAATTTTTATTTTTTAAGCACATTGTACTTTGATGGATTTGGGTGAGCCTAAGATATTGATCAAAAATTGTCATCTTTCACATAAATTGTTTTTAGAGCATAATGAACCATATTTTTGCTATTACCAATAAAAATTCTTAAAAAGCGGATTTTCGGCCAACCCTAATACCCATGCATATGTACATACATATGTATAACATTGAAGCTCATTAGTGAATTCGTTTTAGGAATTATTTCTACTACACTTAAATGTTTGGAGTATTTTAATTTTGTTTTTTTTTTTTTTAACCAATATTTAACGGCCCAACTGCAATACAAGTAAGCACCAGAAGAATGGTATTTTATTCTATTTTGATGATCACGCACAAATAAATGAACAAAAAAAAAGCTTTCGAATGCAGAGTTTCTTTTTTTACGTTTTTTTATTGTACATGTACTAAAATAGAAAATTTTAATAATTGAACTTATATTGTTAAAATATTAATGATGTACATATATGGTGTCTACTTGTTAAACATATTTTTATGTGGTTTCTTTTTTTTTGGCATTGAGTATTTAGAACCAAAACTTTGCGGTAGTCCTAATTTTAATTTTAAATACTTATTATCTTAGTCCCTGCTGATTATTTCGAACTCAAAATGAATTAATTAAGCTTTTAGCGAAACTGGTATTTTAATTTTTGAAAACAAGTAGACAATCTGAGTTATAGTATATGTATGTAAAAATATGAAGCTAAAACCACTCACAGGAATTATAAAATTACTTTATATTACCGAAAATGTTGGTTTTTGTCATAATATTAAAATTTAAAATAATTAATCGAATAATCTGCAGCAATAGTAAAAGTAAAATCTACTTTAAAAAATAAAACCAAAGAACAAACGGAAAGGCATTCAGCAATAAGAATAATAAATCAAACTATTTCCTTTATACTTAATAATAAAATATTAAAATTTATCTCTTCAAAATATTAACAAAAAATATTGTAAAAGCAGAAGAACAAAGCGAACAAATGTATGTACATACATATGCACATATGCGTTTATATAAGTATACAAACATGTGTATAACTTTTTTTATTTCTCTCAATTTTTCCCCTTTCAAAGTGCGTTAAAATTCAAAACAAACTGTTATCTTACTTCAAAATTAATACATACATACAAATTTGCATTAATATGCCTCACAAAAAAGGAAGATATTTTCCTTAGCGAGTCGTAAAATTGGGTATTTTTATGGCTTTCCACAATATTTTGTCTCAATTCTGTGCTATTTGTCCCACTAGTTTTCACAACAGGAAACCCTACAAGACAGCTGAGTATCATATGAGTACTCATATTATCATTATTCCTAATCACAAAAGTGCTTATCAAAGTCCTCATTTTCGTTCAGGCCATGGGAAAAAATTGAGTACTTTCCCCTCAATGTTGTCATCAGAAAGTCCTCAGTACTAATAGTCAAACTACTCATTTATGCCGTACTACAAAAACAAAAGTGTAAATGTGTGAGAATTTTTGCCTAAAGTGCTCAGCAATGTCTTGTAGGGAAGGTACTCACCCTTTAAAACACACACACACACACACATACATCCCAGTAAGCAATTGTAATAGAAAAAAACATTGTTACTTTTTTATTTTGTTTTCTAACAAATTGTGCTGAAAGCCATATTAAGTACCATAAAAATTACGTAATAAACAAAATACACACATATATAGTTACTTTGCTCATAATTAAGAATTGAAATACATATGTATTAATTGAAATACACACATACATATGTACATGTTAAGTAACTCAATATATTAAATTTATTCTTAAGCTATGTAAATATTATTCAAGAGCCAAAAATGAAGCAGTAAAAATGATTGTTTTATTTCAGTTTCCATTGCATTCATACATACATATTTGCGTAAACATACGCTTGTAAATATGGATGTACATACATATATACATACCTAGTTAAATAACTGCATCCAATACATGCATATATATGCATGTTAACGGCCGTATTGTGTGTTGTAGCGCATATACATATATATACATACACATAATATATTCACAATTTTAACCTTTATATACATACATACATATAAATAAATTAACATTAGCATTGAAACGATAAAAATTGCAATATACTTTCTATTATTGAAAAAATATACAACAAAAAAAAACGAAGGATTATATAGAATATAGAAACAAAAGATTGTCAAACAATGTGTATAATGAAGATTAAATAAATATTGAATAAATAAACGTGTTAAGGTGTCGAAAGAATTTACTGCAGTGTCTACAAATTTTCACGCTACAACGCAAAAGCCACAAAAACTACCTAAATTGACACTTTTCATGACAAGTACTTAAGTACTATATTAGTAACATATTTATTTCGTTTTACAGCAAAATGGTTGGCTAATAGTTTTATTGATTTTTTGCCCAAATTGGATGCGGCCACTTCGCCGCACTGAGGGCTCTTTTGTTTAAATACTTACATATTTTTTGTTAACACTTTGTTTTCATCAATAATAAAGTACCTAAATGATAATGCTAATAGCAGTAATATAATTGGCATAATTATTGTTGTTTTTATTTTTTAGTTCATTGCTTAATGATGAAAAAAGCCACACTTCAGATGTGCCCGAAAATATTAAAAACACTGTCAGGTTTTGAATCAAACTTTGTACAAAAATTAAAAAAAAAACAAGATATTTTTCGAACGTATCACATCACGATGTAACGAACAAATGTGGCACGTTCCAGAAAGCGCTACTTGGGATTTGCCGATTTTGACAATTCTCAAGTAAAAGTAAACAATGCTTTAGAAACTTTAGATGCACTGAA